ACAGGTAAGCAATTAGATCCCAAACACTTCCCTGTCTTTCTATTGTTAAATCATCTTCCGCTGCTGCCTGTGTGGCTGCTGCCAAATAAGCTACTTCACATTTATTTAAACAAGCACTTGGTGTGTTGAAAGTACTCTAAGCAAATATTTTCCTAGACTATTTTTCCTGTGGACCCCATATCACCTGTGAAACAAGCTTTTCATTGGTGGCCAGTGATAGGACAAGGGGYAATGGCCATAAGCTGAAACACAGGCAGTTCCATCTCCAGGTGAGGAGGAACTTCTTCCCTGTGAGGGTGCCAGAGCCCTGGCACAGGCTGCCCAGGGAGGCTGTGGAGTCTCCTTCTCTGGAGGTCTTCCAAACCCGCCTGGGTGCCGCCCTGTGCCCCGTGCTCTGGGTGTCCCTGCTGGAGCGGGAAGGTTGGACTAGATGATCTCTAGAGGTCCCTTCCAACCTTGAATATTCTGTGACACAAACCTATATCCTGAATATAAACTGCTATCATCAGTAAAAAAGAATTATTAAAATGGCAGCTAATAGTTTTCAAAGACTTTACTATATCTTTTTTTCCCCATAATAAGAAACACTAGAACAAGGAAGGGGTTCTGGAACTGCCAAATTCCCTGCTTCTCTACCTGCAAGAAAATAATTGATGTCCCATTTTCAATCATCTGTCATGCCCAACCAAAGCAGTGTTTATTGTTCCACTCTTTTAGGTACATTGTGAAGAGTTTATTCCTCTTTTTGAAAAACAATATCCAGAATAYCCGTGGACCACAGTACAAGTAAGTGAGCAACTCATCTTTCTCATGTAAAGCATCTATGAATCTTTATTGCTTAGGATGTGCCTGGGTGAACTGAAGAGGCTGATAGAAATAAGGCCTCTGATCTGCTCCTCAAGGGCTCCTGCATTTGAGGGGTTACACTCTCAGACTGGACAGTGCAGTGGCTGCGTTTACCCTGTGGCATATTTCAAAGAAAAGTGACTGATCTTTTCTCTGTGGCTTGGGTTTTGTTTTGTTCTTAATCCACCATCACTGTGACCTCTTAGAGGTATCAAGTTCAGAACCTGGTCCCTGTTTCCTGTTTTCTTTTCCTGACTTTGAGACCTCAGTGCAGAATTTCCAGCTGCTGCCCCAACTTTTTCTGTTTGTGAGTTTACTTCGTCCCTGTCCCTCCTGTTGCCTTAATACTCTTACATCAGAAAAGATAATCTCCTAATACAAAGGCATATTTTATGTACAAAGACGAATCTCCAAATTCCACTGTCCAGCAATAAAGTGAAGGCAGATTTTGATCCTGTCTTTGCAATCATTTTTTCAAGAATTATTGAAGAGCAAAGAAATGGTTCAGAAATGCACACAAAAACATTGCATCCTTAAATGTTTATAAGGACCTAGAACAAGCAGAAGGAATGGTTTAAAAAAAAAAAAAAAGCACTTATTTCTGCATATGCTTTCAAAAGTAAATAAATTACTCACCTGTAGGTTGACTTCCATAAATTATTTTTTATCTGCTTTAGCTAAAAGCCTTTATCCCAGTAAAGACACCCAGAGCACGACAGGTTTTGCAGCATTACATTTAAGTCCTTTTACACGGAGTGAAAGAAAAGAGAGGTGACAAAAGACAGAAGCCAGACTGCAGGTTGCCCAAGGTCATACTGTGTACAGAACACGAGGAGTCACCGCTTTCCCCTTTGCAGAGAGAAAGGGGGTTACTTCACCATAGCTTTCATGCTAAGTATTTTCCCTATTCATTTGTATTCCACTGTCGCTTTCCTATTTCACTTTCCCATTGGTTATCTGTTTCTAGAAGTATCAATATAATGTCATCTTACACTCTTCGTGTCTCCACAACCTCCCTTTTTTGAGGGGCCGACGTGGACAGAAGATTTTCATTTACAGTACAAACCACAGCTCAAAAGCAGTGTAATTGAGAGACAAGAAACAGCCCAGTCTTTGGAGCTGTTTTTCTGGTATTCACACAGCTTTCCTGGGCTTTTCCTCTCCTCTACATCTAAGTGTAATACTGTACATAATGCCTGAGAAGGAATTTAATTTAATATTAAATGCTCTATTTCCAGGATWTCCATAGTATTCATGTTTTTATGCTTATAAAAAAAATAAGTTCATGGCTATTGGCAGATGCCAAGCACTTTCACGATGTTGGTCTTTAGGTCTAAATGCAGCCTTTGGGGCTGGTGCTGGATGGGTTTTTATCCACTGGCTTGTCATTTAAGCAAAAAACCTCCTGAACAAAATGATGAATATCTGTTGCTTTCATATAAATTTTCTGTATCTCATTTGGAGRTTTTTCCTGTCTTTTAGGCAGATATTTTTAAGGCATTTACTGAATTGTTCCAAGTTGCTTCAGCTAAACCTGCCCCTCTTGGGATCTGTGATTATCCGTCATCGAGAGCAATATACGCCATCGACTTGATGCTCAAGTGGGACRTCAGCAGCGATGGTGAGCAGCTCCTCTCCTTGAAAGATGCTTTTATTTTCCCCATACTTTTTAAAACAACTTTCTTCTAGCTAATCATGGCCCCGGCCAGGCATCTGCCTCTTGTGGATAGAAAGCAGCAGAGGCTCCCCCACAAAAGGACTGTTTGGGCAGCATTCAGCCCAGCCGAGTGCTCTCTTTTCCCGTGTTGTGCTGCACAGGAGAGAGCCTCATGCCTTGCGCTCGCGGTTGCTCGAGGTAGTGGTAGAGGCTCTGTGTTGGTTGGTGCTGCCTGTGGCTGCTTCTCTAACTACTGGATCATTTTCCTGGAGTGAGGTGCTGCAGGAGGAGGTTTAAGTCGCTCATCGTGGAGTGGGTAGTGGCTGTCGCTCTCCTTGAGAAACAGGAGGCACAGAACTGAGTGCTCCTGTCCAGATCAGGAGGAGCAAAGGTTGAAAGCGCCTGCTCTGTCCGTGCTGCTCTGTGAGCTACAGAGTTGCCTCGCTGAGTAGCTCTGGTATGGGCAGAGCAAGGCAARTCCCTTGATATTATCAATTCCAAGAGAAGGGTTGCAGTAAAAGGAGCAAGCTCAGCTGGTAGAGCAGGAGCCGAATTCTACAATTCAGCTCCTGTCTAGACAAGGCCTTGGGTTAGTCCAGTGACTGCAGAATCCCTTGGATATATCTGTTTCTGGGATATATTTTCCCCTGGATAACAGTGGTAGATGAGACCTCCCTCACCTCCAAAGCAAGCATGCTAAAACAAATAAAAACACTTATCTGAGTCATGGAAGATGGCTGTTTTCAGCCCTCTTTCTTTCTCTCTGACTTGAGGCGATGTATCTGAATATAGCCTGTATTAAAAGTTAGTCTTTGTGTTCTCCTTTCCAGGGAAAAAAATTATGCAGCCTCAGATCCTGGAGGTGAACTTCAATCCTGACTGTGACAGAGCCTGCAAGTACCACCCTACCTTTTTTAACGATGTCTTCAGCACCCTCTTTCTGGATGAAGTAGACAACTGCCACGTGACGTGCATTGTCTAGGCAAGGAGGCTTCACTCTGCAAGGGGTTGCCTTTCCAGCAGGTGCTCAACAGCAATATTTATGTCAGTTCTATGAGCTGCTTATGCAAATATCCTCCTATACTGGTAACCCAGGAAAAAAGAATTGTGATATCCTAAGAATATGCATAACTGTATCCTGTATTGGTAATCATTTTGTCTGCCTTTTCCTTGTCTTGCTTAGTTTTATATCGCCAATCTGCGTTGACCAAATGTCTTGGTTTGTAGAAGATGGGAGACCACAAAATAGAACAGTAACTGGAGCAATGACTTGTTTCTCAGGTAGCCGAACTCTCACTTGCTGGGAAACATTGTACAGCTTCTCTMTGTCGACATTAAAATTACAATTCAGTGCACCATTTTTGAGTTAGTCTGCCTTATTTTTTTTTTTTTTGATCCCCTCTGTTACACAAAGATCTGAAATGTTTCAGTAGATAAGTTGAAGTGAAGCAAGACATTTTTAAGGCAGCATATATTGAGTTCCACATGAATCGAGCATATGAAGCTTGGCTGCAAAACAGTGTTTAGCTGGAGGTCCTGGTGGTGTTCAAAACCTCASGAGCAGGTGCTGGAACCTGTGTGTCAAGTCAGTCACCACGAGGTGGTCCTTGTGTTGTGCAGGGTAGTTCCCTGATTTAGCAAGTGCTGAAACAAGGTGGGAAGGACAGATCTCCTGTTAACTGTCAGGCGCCTCATTCCCTTCTCCCTGCACGGAGAAGGCAGACTAACTTCCATAGATAAAATACTTCGCTCACTAAGGACAGAAARACGGCTGCTTTTGTTAAGAGAACAATACAGTATTTTGGTGCAGTGAACTCTACTCGGCTAATGAGATGGAAGAKCTGATGGCTCTTCATTTTCAATAAAAAGCTAGGAAGGAAGTAGGAGCCGTGTATTGCTGGCTGCCATCCTCAGCCTGCCCCTTAAAGAAASCAGACTTTGGAGAAATGCTCATGCAAGAAGTGGCAGGGACATAATCTCTAGGGACAGCAAGGGAAGGCAGAGGAGGCCCAAAGAAATGAAAGGGACCTGGGAAACTGCCAAAATCCAAAGCAGTCTTTGGACTTAACAGTTGAGAACTTAGCGTAAATGGACAAATTCTGCCGTGTGTGCAGAAGCTGCAAAAGTTCTGTCCATCGTGAAGCGTTCTAAATAGGCAGGTGTGTTTTCTAGATAACTGCAGCAATCAGTCTGCCTGAGAGCGAGGTGCAAATACAAAACCACAGGTGTTGGAGACCTTGTTTCTGGTGCACAATGACTTTCTGGCTGCGTGCATCAAATCTGCTGATTTTTGTCTTGCCTGCTGCAGTGATAGGAGGTGATGAAGTTAGGCTAGCTTTGAGGCTGAGGCTTTTCGTTGCCTTTAACATCTTCCTACTTAAAATATTAAAAAGCAATAAAACCAAAGAAGCAAATATACTAATTTACATGCAGTTTAATACATTTAGCTGACAGATTATGCTATGCTTTGAAGTCAGAAGGCACAATATTTTACAAAAAGATGTTATCTTAAACATTCATTAGAGTACAGCAACTGGAAGACAAAGTACCAGGCAGGCTGCTCTGTGCTGAGTGCTTTGCAGCACTAAAGCACTGTCTGGTGGAAAACAGAGGGAAGATTCGGGCCATAGTCACACTGAGGGCTGTCAGGTGCAGCTCTCTGAAAGCCATGTTAACATAACGGCTTGCTTTTCTACCTCTGAACATAGTGAAGCTGTACCTTGTGCTCATTTTTTTCATTAAAATGCTCTTCCTATAAAAACTGCGATATAGAAAACTAGTTTTTTTTTTTTAATCACCATCCTCTGTTATGCTATAAAACTCACCAAGGCACGCACCCCTCTGCGACGTGTTTAGTAAAGACACACTTGCTGTGAGCAAGTTACTGCTCTGTCGAGTAGTAATGAGCAGTCACTCGGTCTAGCAGCATTAGGTAGTTCAGCTAAAACACACAGGGARGCCAGTTAGTCGGAAAGATCTTTTGGCTGAGGTCTCCCTCCCAAGAAAACCTTTATTCAGGGTGTTTCTTGCTGCGATTGTCCTTCCAGATGCGGTAGTTGAGCGCAGAGGCCATGGTTAGCCAAGCTAAATAAGGAACCATCAGGTACGCTGCTGTTCTATTGACGTTGTACCAGGAAGCAGTTGTAGCTGTCGCGGTACCGGTGGTGAGTAGGAGAGTCACCAGGCCCTGCAACACAGAAAGGTGGTTGGTGGTGCCGGACCTGTGGCATTTTCTTCACTAGGCAGTATTTGTATGGCTGCTTCCAAGTGTTTGCATTGGCTCTGGCCCCTGGATCCCTCTGATAGCCGATTCCTCAAAAATAGGGTACCTGTCTGCTGACTCAGTGATTTGAACTGACTTGTGGGAAGATGAGATAGATGCAAGAATTGGGACAGAAGCTGCAACTGGGAGCAGGGGAGCGAGATTAAAATTCCTTCCGGTCCCATTTTTCTGGCAGCAGGAAGCTCTGCGTTGACTCTAACCCCTGAGTGCCTTTGAGCAGGTCACTTTGCTAGGTGAACTTCCCCTGCATTTTTCTCGTGCTGCCTGAAGAGATGTGGGGTGGRTGAATCAACGATGGGCTGCAAAAACGTTCCTTTGTTATAGCATTACTTGCATATTCAACTAGATATTTTATTTTAGCCTATCTTCTTTCTCTCAGCAGGAAATTAATGCTGTCTCGTATGGTTATCGATCACCTGAGTAACATAATGAACCACTCGTATCGCTGCTGTTTGCCAAAGTGGTACTKAGGAATTCTGCTAAGGCACGAGTGTTTACTTTGAGTCCCACAAAGCTCTTATCCAAAGCTGACAGGAAGAGCTACTTGATATCTAGGCATTTAATGATGCTGCGCGTAGGTAAATTCTCTCGGGTGGTTGCAGGACACATTGAAGAGTGGCTTGGGCAGGTAACCATGGCCCACGCTCTGCACCAGTTACATGAATCTGACTAATTTTTTGAAGACAAAACAAGCCCAAACTTACCCTTAGCACCCTGTGAAAAGATAGCAGTGGTCTGTGCTTAGGAAACTTGTTTTTCCACTTACCCATCCCATTTTGTGAGCTCCAAAAAATATGGGAGTCCAAGCCCAGTTTAGTGCCAGCTGCCCTGCGTACAGCCCCAGTGGCAGCACAGACTTCTCATTGAAGCCCCCCAGTTCCTTCCACACGAGGTAGGAGCCGTATCTGAGGAGAGCAAATGCAAGGTGTAATTCTGTGCATGGGCTRGAAGGCAACTGCACGCTTGCTCGTCACGCAAAATGACTTCAGTGTCGGGAGTCTAAATTCACTGGGAGAAGAAGACACCAGACAGTACCTGGCAGAATAACCGGATGTTAAGGGTTGATCATAGGCTGCAGGCAGCAGTTTGGAGAGAGAAAAAGTTCCCGTGGTGCCAGAGCTCTTGCTCTGGGTGCGGAGGAGCAGATTCCCAGCTGCATTTCAGTCTTTAAAGACAGCAACATATTGAAATAGAAGTAAGTCTGGGGCTTGAGTGGAAGAGGGAGGTTTCTACAGAAGAAAGTGTTATTCCAGTAATGGGAGATGATGCTTCAAAACAGCAGGAAATGTATTTTCAAATGGCTGAAATGCAGTTATGGGAGAAGCAGGAACTGAAGTGGGAAAGGACAAAAGGAGCAGCAGCCCAAAGACGGGTGAATTTGGTGTTAGAGCACAGTTAGGGTCTCACAGTTTGGAAGGGAGGAGACAGAAGACGAGGGGAACAAAGATCTTAGGATTTCTGAGGAAARGACTAAGAGGAAGGCAGGCTCTTGCTGTCCGTGGGATCCTGCCTGCTGAAGGATCTTGCAGCCAAATTCTTGGAGGAGTTTGAGCAGATCTTCATGCCACTGAACACTTTGCTGGAACGGGACCAGCAGGAAAGCTGCCAAAGACCAGAACCCTTGGGAGGTTTGCAAGCGTGGGGTATATTTTACACTGAACAAGCCTGACTGGAGCAGGGAGCAGTCGTTGCACAACAGCCTCAGAACCCGGATCTGCTTCGCCGGGACTTACAGAGCCCCAGCTCTCTGCTCTGCTGTTCACAGATGCAAGTTTCATTGCGGAGCAGGATCACTGYGTGCCAGGCTGCTAGGGCACGGAATATCAAACACGGGCATGTAAGCTGCTTATCTCCTGCTTTCGKTTTTCTTGCTCTTTTCATTATTTCTTGCCTTTAATGTACTTAAGGGACTCTAAAGGAACGAAGGTCATGGTGGCTCTGGAGAAGGTGGGTGCACGATGGCTTGCAGAAGGAAAGGGTGGGTTACAAGTACTGAGGAGAGACTCAGGCCCTGGACATGAGGCACCCACCTCCAAAGACACTGACAGTCTGATGCTGTCAAAGTAAGTGACCAGCTGTCACCATTTAGGTTTTTTAAATGTTGAGCTCGATATCCGAGTTTATGATGAGGAATCCCCAGCCAGGGCATTATGAGCTGTGCAGGGGACACAAAGGAAACCCTTCATGGGAAGCCACCAAGCGCTGGGCTCTTTGATCAAGGGATCTTTTACTGACTCACAGCAGAGTCATGTTCTGATTCCCTTACTAGCTCCTTCAATGTGCAACAGGGAAGAAAAGTTTTAAAAGTCTTCTGTAGAGGAAGAGAAGGAATACAGACAGAAGAGCCGGGGAAAGCGCACGAGGCTGCAGAAATTACAAAGCTTTTCTTGAAAGAAGAGGAATCCGAGAGAGAAAGCATGAGAGCAAAAAGCTTTGCRTTCAGGTACATTTTCAGACCTGCATCACTGCTCTATTTTGCATCCAGCTGTGGTATTTAAGTTAAGCAGCAGGGTGCCTATGTACTCTCAGCTTGGAAAAGAGCTGATCTCTCTGAAACTTCCTCTGGTTAAGCCAGACTACGGCAGTACAACAGGTAGGAGTCACTTAAGATGCAGCAGCATAATGGAAGAGATGGCAGGGGAAGGGTAGAAAATGCAGATTGCGGCCCCAGATCATCGCTGGAGGGGAATGTAAAGGCACAGTGTGTTGCAGGGCTACTTCCGGAGCGGTCTGAAGTAATTCACGTTGTTCCTGTGAATCGTCAGTACGTGCCTGATAGTTACAACCTACCTCTACAGAGGTCTTGGCTCCATCTGACTAAAGCAATACCTGCCAGAATAGCAGTAGTAGCTGTTTCAGTAGTAGCTGTGGGGATGGTATTTGGCCTCGCGATAACTCTGTTCACTTGTCAGGAATGGCTGTTTTGACAAGTATTTTAAATTAGTTAAATAAGGCAAAGCGTTGGTTTCACACATGTAGAGTTTTACAGCCTGGCAGTCTTTTACTTGGAAAGACAAGTACGTTTGTTTCGGTTTGGGCTTCTTTTAATCAAGCTCTGTTAGAACAGTTCCATCCCAATTTTTCACTCTTATTATTTTAAAGCTACCAAAGGGTGTATGTAGAGGAAATCCCGAGGCCAGCTGGCTCCACGCTGCACAGCTTGGCAGGTCTCCCCCTCAGAGGCTGTGAGGAAAGCCAGTTAATGGCAGCTTTCCCAACTCTTGCTTTTGGTAGGGGCTTTTTTGCATACGGAGCAACGTCCTATCAAACCCACGCACGGCTCCCCGGACGTGTCTCTACCTGCTCAACGGGAAACTTGACACAATTTCTTACAAACGCAGGGCCACGGGAATATGGAGAGAGAGTTTTCGGATCCAGCACAGCAAGAGCTGTGAGATGAGGGAAGTGCCTTAACACGAGGTGGAAAACGTACCCCATAGATGTGTAGAGGGTTCCCCAGACAGGAGCAAAGACCCAGTTGGGCGGCCGCCAGGAGGGCTTCTCCAGACCTTCGTACCACAGCGGGATCTGCTTCCTGGTGATCTTGCCTCCTAAAAATCCTCCCACGTGGGGCAGGAGTGTGAAACCCAGGGCTGGGACCCAGCCCGGTGCCTCTTCCATCGAGACGGTGAATCTGAAACGAGCACAAACACATTGTTGGCAAAGGGCAAGGTGGTTTTAAAGGGAAGCGAGAAAAACATTGCATTTTTAGTAGATTTTAAAACGTATATACATACATGACCCACAGCTTAGTCTTAAAAATGAGGAGCACAGTGGAAATCAATGGATCTTCAATGAGGTTCCCTGGACAACATTTGCCACCTTGCAGGAACCCATCACTCGCATCCTCTTTTCTTTAGAGCCTTCAGTTCCCCTAAGCCTTGCGCAGTCAGGTGAGCGACTTTTACCTCCCTAAATATTCYCTCCCATAAATAAGCAGGCCAGAGGAATAATGCAGTTGGATATTACCTAAATGGCACGTGGAAGGGTTTAAAACCAGTGTTTGTGTCTCGGCAGAAGCGGCGCGGCCTCGGCGGGCGAGGGCAGAGCGGGTGCCTGCCTGCACGCACCGAGCTCACGCGGGCAGGGTGGGTTCCCCCAGGCCGCGTCAGGGCTCCCTAGCGAGCCCCCATCCAGAGGCCACGGAGCAGGCTCCGTGTTTTGGGCTCGCTAAAGTGTGAGCCAAGGTCTGAGGAGCACAAAGCACATGCCGTGTTCTTCAAATAGACAGGAGCCAGAYGCACCCGGCTCCTGCTCATCTGCGCTGCGGCAGGCAGAGAGCAGGGAGGAAGCAAAAGCAACGGGGAGAGCCCAGGGGAGCAAAGGGGAAGCAGAACCTGTGGGGSCAGGAGCTGCATCCCAGGGGAGAGGCAGGGAGCGCCGCGCGGGATTCCCGCCTTACCGGCTGCGCTCGCACCAGCGGGAGGCTGCGCAGCGCTGACRGGCCCTGCTCGGGAACGGGAGCTTGGCGCGCGGGCGAGGGGCCCTCCTGCGTGGCCACGCGATTCAAAGGAAATCCCGGCGAGGGAAGCGGGGCAAGACACTGAATGCAGAAGAGGGCGGAGGGCCCGGAAAAGCTCGCGGGATTGGGAGGTTTGCGGGGCGTGGGCAGGAAGGGACAGGCCGGCTGCAGAAACGCCCGCCGTGCCGGCAGCACGCAGGGAAAGGCAGCAAGCCGCGCGGGGGGCCACGCAAGTGCCACAGCCACCAAGTCCTCAGGGACTGAACTAGACATAAGGACAAAATAAGGAACAAAAGCACAGGATGTTCTTTTATATCGGGTTATTGGGCTTTATGCTTTGTTTGGATGTGTTTGTGGCAGGGTGGTTTCTAGGATATATTAAACAGCTGGGCTTTGCCAGGTGGTTATTTCTGCAGCCAGCTTCTCCCTGAGGAAAGCGTGGAAGTGTTTTGCTGTCTGAAAGCACTAGATGCTCCCCGGATGAAAAGACGCTACAGTCATTAGTGCACAGGTGACGTGGTGGTGAGTCCTGTCCCTCCGCACATTGAGGGTGACACGAGGAAGCAAATGAGGCAGGAAAGTGGGAATGGGGAAAGAGCAGGAAAAGGCAACAAATAAAACAGCAAGACTATAGACACACCATCTTGAAGGGAATCCTGGCATCCTCTTTTTTGGCGACTGCTAATTGTATAATCTGTTTTCCCATAGCATTTCTCAGTATTTTGCCAGGCCCGCGGGCTGCGGCGCCTGTGCGGACACGTCTGGCACCGGGCGCTGCCCCCAGCCCGGCGCCGCCTCCCGCTGCTCCCCCGCACCCCTCGCTAGAGGCCCGGACATCTTCGGAAAGCAAGGCAGGCACGGGGGAAGCGAAAGCTTCTTTCGGTGCTGCATTTTATCCACCAGTGTAACTGTAATTTAATGCTCGTAGGTTTGGGCCTGCGAGGCTCGCAGGTCTGTTGCACTGTGCCACGACAGCCAAGGTTGCTTTTTGCAGCAAATACTACTCGGGTATCGTTGATGGCTGCCAGGGAGCTCTGACCTTCTGGGGCTGCAGAAAGGCGGGTTCTCAACTACCCCCGCTCAACTGAGTGGGGACGAGGGATGGGAGGACACAGCAGAACAGACCCCACTGCATCCCGCGGCCACTCGCTGCCCAGGCTCATGGAGCTGCAGGGACCTGCCTCGGGAACACTCGATCCTACGTTTCCCTTTCCTGGCTTGTTTTGTTGCACGTGCAGGCTGGCTGTGTAGCGAGTATCTTATCGCCAGGGCTCCAGCGCCTCAGGCGGCGCCGCTCTTGCTCAAGCCACAAATAATTGCTATGTTCCCAGCTCAATTTCAGGGCAAGAGCTGGTTGCATAACATTCTTGCATCCCAATTTTCCCACTGCAGGCAGCTGGATGTGTTTGTTCGAGGACGGTAGCTGCAGTGTGCCTGGTGGGAAATATTAGCCCTGCAAYGGACCCTTCTGGGCCAGGGAGCAGGATGGGGACATTCCCCCTTGCAAGACAAGGCTTTTCCCCGGAAGGAGGCGAAAGGAAGGACAGCAGCTTTCACCCCTGTTTGGATAAAGCTCYGGCTAATCCCTGCCTCGTGCAGCGTGGTGCCAGCTACCGTGTCACGCGCGCTTGAAATGGCCGACACTGCAATAAACACGGTGGGGAGACACCTTGGCAAGGCCAAAATGACCGAGGAGTTTGGGAACCTCTTGTCCCGGCTGTTTGGAGGCAGAGGGAGAAAGGTGGGAAAACACTAGCACGGGGCATGGGGTTCCACGGCCCGGCTCGCCCTCTGCCATCGGTTCCTTGCGGGACAGGTAAGGGCGGCAGGCCAGGGCAGGCGGCCCCCTCGCCGCTTGGTTTGGATCTGCTCCGCGGCCCTGGGTAGCGGGATCCCTGCGGATACAGCCACTGGCTCCTGCTCTGAGGCACAGGCACCGCAAAGGAGTGCACCGTGGGCACAGGATGGTGTTTGCTCACCCTGGAGTGCTCCGTGGGGATGGGACAGTGCTCGCTCCCTGGAGTGTCCCGTGGGCACAGGATGGTGCTCACTCCCTGGAGTGCTCCGTGGGGCTGGGACGGTGCTCGCTCACCTGGGGGGCTGCGCGGGGACGGGATGGTGCCGTCTCGCCTCGGAGCAGCGATGCCTCTGTAACTGTAAGAACACGACATTTAATAAAGAGGGAGCCACAGGAGTGCTCTTGCACTATGTATACACATGCAGTACATATATTTTATATACATGTATATATATTTATAATATACATACATATCATATGCATATAGATGCTGCGAGACTTACACACCCTGAAAATGCCTAAGTAGTGTCTAGCATGCAGCGCCTGGCGCTTGCAGCCTCCCCCAGCTCCTTCCTGGGCCAGGTGTGCAAGTCTCACCGCAACTATACGGATATGATACGTATAGGTTGTACCCATAAACTACAGAGAAATAYAAAAACTATGTAACTATAAAACAACATCTCTATGTTATTAGGATATAGTATTTATCTATATAATATACAAAATATSAATATATAATATCAATATAATTATTAAAATCTTGATATATTTTATATCTAAATACGTCCTTTAGATACATAATTTCCTCTTAACGTACATCTATATGAAGTTAAGAGCAAGCAGGACCGCCGTCAGCCGCGTCCCTGTTGGCGGCGGAAGGTCCCTCCCCGCAGGCCCCTTTGCGCCCCCCGTCGCGGGCCGGGACCGGGACCGGGACCGTTGGACCGTTGGGCGGCTCCCGCTGCCCCCTCCCCCTCCCCCTCCCGCCGCGCACCGCCCGTTACCTCCGGCCCGCGCCTCGCTGCCCGCCGAGGGGCGGGGCCTGCCCTGGGGCGGGGCGGGGCCTGCCTGGGGCGGGGCGGGGCCTGCC